AAGCTTTTCAAAATAATTTGGTTTAACTGTATAATCTGTATAAGTATGGAGTTGCTTTGCTTTTTTTCTGAACTGGTGTAATAAATTTTATTTTTGTCATATTGTGTGTGATTTTAATTTTAAAACCCATTTTTTGGTTAATTTAACCCAGCAGTAGGCCTATAGTAAATTGCAAACAATATTTGAATTAAATAAAACAGTCCACCATGTTTATTGATACATTACCTGATATATAATGTATGTATGTATGACCTACTGTATAAACAATCGTTTCAGAGCAATTTGTTGTAGCCACTTACCCTGTAACTACATGGAACAAGGGGGGAACAAAGCACCCCTTTAATTTACAGCCCGCATGGAACAAGGGGGGAACAAAGCACCCCTTTAATTTACAGCCCGCATGGAACAAGGGGGGAACAAAGCACCCCTTTAATTTACAGCCCGCATGGAACAAGGGGGGAACAAAGCACCCCTTTAATTTACAGCCCGCATGGAACAAGGGGGGAACAAAGCACCACTTTAATTTACAGCCGCAAATGTTGTATTTACCCTGTAACTACATGGAACAAGGGGGGAACAAAGCACCACTTTAATTTACAGCCGCAAATGTTGTATTTACCCTGTAACTACATGGAACAAGGGGGGAACAAAGCACCACTTTAATTTACAGCCGTATTTACCCTATTTACCCTGTAACTGCATGGAACAAGGGGGGAACAAGCACCACTTTAATTTACAGCCCGTATTTACCCTATTTACCCTGTAACTACGTGGAACAAGGGGGGAACAAGCACCACTTTAATTTACAGCCCGCAAATCTTGTATTTACCCTGTAACTACATGGAACAAGGGGGGAACAAAGCACCACTTTAATTACAGCCCGCAAATGTTGTATTTACCCTGTAACTACGTGGAACAAGGGGGGAACAAGCACCACTTTAATTTACAGCCCGCAAATCTTGTATTTACCCTGTAACTACATGGAACAAGGGGGGAACAAAGCACCACTTTAATTTACAGCCCGCAAATCTTGTATTTACCCTGTAACTACATGGAACAAGGAGGAAACAAAGCACCACTTTAATTTACAGCCCGCAAATCTTGTATTTACCCTGTAACTACATGGAACAAGGGAGGAACAAGTTGGACTTAAACACAGAACAAGTGTATATTTGCACAGTAATTACAGAGAAAAATATTGCACTAGTTTTAATTTAATTGTTCGATGGCCAAATTAAACCCTATACATTTTTTTTGCTATAAAAACACCACAGTATACATCCACTGAAATACAAATGTTGTATCATGTATTTTTTCTGCGAACAGCTGGAAAGAGGTAAACTTGTTTTAAGCTGCATTGAACCTTGATGGTATAACATGCAAAGTTATTTGGTGATAGTGGTGTTGAGAAGTTGCTGGTGTGAAGTTGCTTAAATCGACGAATAAGCTTTCATAAGGTAAGTAGACTTGTGAATTATAAATCATAGCAGAAACTCATTAACTCATTTCACTAGATGTCTAGTTTTGTTGTTCAGTAATCTCCATCATGTCCATCTTTTAATAATAGAATGTGTACCCCATAGTTAAAAAAAACCTATACGCCTATAATAAAATACCAATATAAAATTATAAAACGTATATATCGTCTTTCTAAATCATTCCCAAACATAAGATTGTTGTTTAGGCCATACATACCACGTAATATTAGAATAAGCACCTCTTAGTTTCAAAATACTTACAGTATAAATGATTTGTAATTGGTGTGATGGTTTGGCCATAATAGTTTAACTTCGTCAGTGGGTGAAAAACATGAACAAATTGAACAAAATCTATTTATTCTTAAACAAGCTTTTCAAAAGAATTTGGTTTAACTGTATAATCTGTATAAGTATGGAGTTGCTTTGCTTTTTTTCTGAACTGGTGTAATAAATTTTAATCTTTTATTAGGCTATCTGTTGCCTGTGTTGTTACTGTTGTGTGATTTTAATTTTAAAACCCATTTTGGGTTAATTTAACCCAGCAGTAGGCCTATAGTAAATTGCAAACAATATATGAATTAAATAAAACAGTCCACCATGGTTATTGATACATTACCTGATATATAATGTATGTATGACCTACTGTATAAACAATCGTTTCAGAGCAATTTGTTGTAGCCACTTACCCTGTAACTACATGGAACAAGGGGGGAACAAAGCACCACTTTAATTTACAGCCCGCAAATGTTGTATTTACCCTGTAACTACGTGGAACAAAGCACCACTATAATTTACAGCCCGCAAATGTTGTATTTACCCTGTAACTACGTGGAACAAAGCACCACTATTTTTTGCTATAAAAACACCACAGTATACATCCACTGAAATACAAATGTTGTATCATGTATTTTTTCTGCGAACAGATGGAAAGAGGTAAGCTTGTTTTAAGCTGCATTGAACCTTGATGGCATGTCATGCAAAGATATTTAGTCATAGTGCTGTTGAAAAGTTGCTGGATAGGTACACTATAATTACAGAAACATACACCGTAAATTCAGTATACTCGCATAATTCTTTGCGGGTTGTAATCTAAAGCGTTACCGATTGCTTATGAAAGTTAGATCATTTTATGGGAAGTTTACTGTATTTGAAGTCACACGATAGTAGAAAGGATAACCCACCACACTTTTCAAAAAACAAGTTGGGGATATAAAACCATATAGATTTACTCTGGGCCAAGCAATGTTTAATCCAATTGATTTTAAAAATAATATTAAGAGTGCTAAAATCAAGGACATTAAACCCAACCTTTGAAAATGTTGTAATAATAGTTTTTCTTTTCACATATTCAGTTCTATTTTTCCAAATAAACCTAAATAAAGCCCTGTCAATATCGGAGCACATTTTAGGGTTGACATACAAAGACAGAGCAGGATATACCAGCCTCGAAATCCCCTCAGCCTTG